AGTAAAATTATTATTGAATTAATTTAGTATTTAAAAGTTTATTTTATTTCTAGATTTCTATTTTCTTTGTCTCACAGTCCCATTTAGTATTAGCAAATACATTACAAACTCATGTACACCCAACAGTTATACATCCATTCTCACACAAATACTAATACAACTAACTAATACAAACTCACCCTACCCAGCACAACTCATAACCTCAACCCTAAACCTATCTGTATCACTTTTCTTGACTGGATCTGGTGGCACACTTGGGTAAAACATCCCTTTTTAGCCCCATAAGTGTGTTCTAGTGGCTGATAATGGCGCTTCAGGCTATCAGACACCCAATCCTCAATCAGCACACAATTAAAGCTCATTAACACCTACCCAGAAGGCCGTGGCAGTTGTGTGACAGCCCCTTGCTCTGACCGATGTAGAACCCCAGGTGATCTCTCTGGTAGGGGGCTGGATTCTTATACTGGTGCAGCAGGATCACAAAGCTGATGTTTCCTCCGATGGTCACAGTCACGTTGGACTTTCCCACGATGGATACTGACAGAGCGCCACTGTCCACCGCGACTGTGGAGTGGCAGGGCAGCACCATTCTGTCCCGCCCGTCCAGGATGACCTTCTTAGGCGTCACCTCGATGTAGGCACGTTTGGGATGGTCCACCACGATGGTGATGGTGCTGAAGTAGGTACGCTGCTGTTTGTGGCTGCCTGGCGGAGCTGGGGCACCAATCAGCTTACCGTTCACTGTCACACCTGGAGACAAACAACATAAATGACCCACACAAAGCATAAATTAATAATAATAATAATATTATATATTAACTTGAAATAAGAGTTTTTGTGCCGTGTAATGAAGTCTAACGGTGTTAGAAGTCTTACCAGAGTACTTGTGGTCAGAGACGAGACGCAGGATGTGTCCAGGCTCACCATTGATGTTGAAGCACACAGTCAGCTTACTGAGCGGGAACTCCACCACAAAGTGGGGGTCACCGTCCGCTGAGTTTAGTGAAAAAGAGACAAAAATAACATATTTGTGTGCAGAAAGATGCAGAATTTATAATGACAGAGTTTATAATCTATTATTACATACATATTACACATGTTGGGTTTTTTATGGCTGATTTTGATATTTTTAGACTAAGTTTGATTGTGTTTAGGCTGAAACAAACTAAATTAGATATCAGTCGGTTATTTAGGGAGGTAAAATCTCTAAAAGATGTCTTTGAAGAATTAAATGAATAAATTAAAGGGAAATTTTTGGTGATAATTTTTAAATATTAGGATTTAAAAAGGCATTTCTACTGAGTTTGGTTTGTGTCTGGTCAAAAGTAACTCGAGGAACTTGAGTTCTGTTGGGTGAATTCATGTAAAACTGAATAATAAATTTGCTATACAGTAAAGTTTGATACCCACTCATCTTTTAAGTGGACAAAAAACCCCAGGAACTCTTCTTCCCCATGGTTCAACTTCAGAAAAGATTAATTAAATAAGTTTTACAAGAAATTATCCTAGTAGAAGGTGGGACTTTGGATCTCTTTATAACAAAGAAAACTAGTTAATTTTCCATGTCACAGTAAATGAAACAAAAAAAAAAACTTCAAACTTGAGCTGCAATCTCCAACATCTCTGTAAAATCCATACATAATATGAAGAAAGGCATTGACTGATTAGTAGCTGCCTTTGATTTGGCAACGTTAGATTTCTTCTGTTGGATCTCAGATTGGGTTCTATCAGATCGGTTCATATCTTTAGCTGGAGTCTCTCCAGGCTTGTGAGAACCAGCTAAGATGAATAGAGGAGTGATGAGATGAGAGCAGATGATAGAGCAACAGTAATGACAGGGTCATTAGCCAGCACTAACTGCCTCTGATGGGGTCCCTCTCTTTACTGTAACCCATGCACAAACACTGTGTGTGTGTGTGTGTGTGTGTGTTTGCGAACACGCACTTGCATGTTTAAAGTGCCACGTAGTGCTTTTGCTGGTATTTCAATTAGACCCTGTGTGTTCTTTCCTCTTTGCAGGTCATGTTCAACGCATCCCTGAACTCCTCGCTGTCTGTGTGATCACTGCCGACTGTCTGACGAACATCCAAATTACAGGCCGCCCACATAGAGAGTGTAGAGAGAGAGTCTACTGTACATTCCCCGTCTCCTCTCTTTCAAGTCTCCTTATGGAGCCTCGTAACCACTGTGTTTGTGCTTGCAGTATATAGGGTTTAGAGGTTATTAAATAAAACAGCTCAGGCGAAAATGAACAACTGTTTACATGAGCGGGAGGATGAGGAGTTACCTGATGTTTTGGAGATGGTGATGGATTTCTTGGCTGGTCTCCTCGCAGCTTTACCTACACGGAAGAGAATATTTATCTACTGCAATGAGTCAGAGGGCTGCCATTGTTTAATGCTTCCTCTTTAAATCTTCCATATGAGTAACATTAACTGTTGATGGGTTAGTTAGTGTAATACAGGGTGTCTGAACAGAGAGAAAAGGTATATAATTATATTTTCTGCACGTTCTCTTAAAGCAGTACTCAACCAAAAATCTGTATCACCTCTTCTAGGTTTGCAATGTGGCTCTGAAAAGTTAGTTTGCATCTTTGTGGAGGGCATTAGGTGTAAAGCTTGGATCCACAACAGTTACAATGGCTTCCTGAGGTGAACCATGATAGAAACTTTTCAAATCTCTCTTGCAGCAAATTCCACGTCCCTTTTATCTTTCCAAAACTGTCTTGCAAATGTTCGTTGTTTTTGCCACAATTTTGTCAAATGTAGTTGAATACATGGCAGTAGTAACAAAAGAAAGTCACGATTGTCACCAGTCTGTTAGCTGTTGCAAAGCGCTCTAGGCCTACTTTCATTCATATGAAACATTCACATAAACAGATCAGACAGGTCCAAGATATTGTTTTTTTTGTTTTTTGCTAACTCGCTTAGCTGTTTTTGTTTGCCACTTGTGATCTAACATTAGTAATAGTTAAATGTAACAAACGTGAACAGCTAACCATTCTAGCTTAAAGCAGTTTATTTAGCTATGTTTGGGCAAAAATAATAATAATAATAATAATAATAATAATAATAATATTTGGACTGTGTGGTTATGGTGCAGGAGTGGATTCAGTGGACATTATAATACTTATTTTGACCATTAAATCCATTGTTAGTGTTGTGAAACCAACCTAACTTCGCTGCTGTCCACAGTGACTATTTCATTCTCAAAACAATTTCTTGGCATATACTGTGGTAGCTGACTTTTTGGACACCCTGTACAACCAAATCTCGACGGCACATCCTCACCAATTGTGTTCCTCACAGATGAAGTCTGGCCGCCTGGCTTCCCGTTGGGTTTCTGTGGCTCTCCCTCCTCTGTGTCACCTGGCAGCTCACTGGCAGTTGAGCCAGCTGCTGGGGTGATGGTGGGCGCCGGGGCCATGCTGCCATCAGCCAGGACCTCAGGCTTCTCCACCACCAGGTTGGTGAGGGGAGTGAGGAAGTGGTAGGCCAGAGATAGATTGGTGGCCTGCTGGATGTG